GAAACAAGAATCAGGTCAAACGTAGTTCATGTTGATTGATTTTCTTCTCTCTTCTTTTTATTTTTTGTTTTTTTTTTTTTTTGTTTTTTTGTTTTTTTGTTTTTATATTTATGAATGACATGCATAATAAGATACCCATTGGCCACGTCGACAGAGGTGTATTCAGGATTTCATAAGGATGGGAAAGGAAATAAATTAACTCTCAACAAGGATGACAACATATGAATTAATACTTAGACACAGAACCAAGAATTTCCATTACATCAACCTTTGAAATGTCAAGTCCAAACATAAGGGTTTCTAATACCAAAAAATCACATCATATATAATATCTCTTCACAACATCAGCATTGATGACCATTTTTGTCATTTGGCCTTCTATATCTGCTAAGTAAAGTGCACCATTGGATAATACCTTCTTTACAATGAATGGTCCTTTCCAATTTGGAGAAAATTTTCCTTTGACTTCGGCATGGTGTGGTAGAATACGTCTCAACACTAATTGACCTTCTTCGAAACGTCTGGGATGCACCTTTTTATTGTATGCTCGTGCCATTCTTTTCTGATACAATTGTCCATGGCATACTGATGTCAATCGCTTCTCATCAATCAAACTTAATTGCTCCAAGTGTGTTCTGATCCACTCATCATCATCAATTTCAGCCTCTACAACAATCCGCAGGGATGGAATCTCAACCTCTACAGGTATAACCCCCTCAGTCCCATATACCAGTGAATAGGGGGTGGCACCCACTGACGTACGAACTGTAGTGCGATAACCCAACAAAGCAAAAGGCAACTTTTCATGCCATTGTCGAGAACTTTGCACCATTTTACGAAGTATCTTTTTATATTTTTGTTGGCAGCTTCTACAGTCCCATTTGCTTTTGGGCGATAAGGAGTCGAATTTCGATGTTCGATCTTAAATTGACAGCATACCTCTTGCATTAAACGACTGTTGAGATTTGCAGCATTATCGGTAACAATTGCCTTTGGAATACCAAATCGACAGATGATGTTGAAACGAATGAAATCCACCACGACCTTCTTGGTCACTGACTTGAAAGTTACTGCTTCCACCCACTTTGTAAAGTAATCAATGGCCACCAGGATGAACCTATGACCATTCGATGCTTTTGGTTCTATTGGTCCAATCACATCCATTCCTTATGCTACGAAAGGCCATGGAGCAGACATCGCATGCAACTCGAAGGGAGGAGAATGTATCAAATCACCGTGTATTTGACATTCATGACACTTAAAAACAAATCGTATAGAATCCCGCTCCATGGTGAGCCAATAATAACCTGCTCGAAGTATCTTCTTTGCTAGAACATATCCATTCATGTGAGGTCCACAAAACTCCTGAGTGTACTTCAATCATGATTGTTGAAGCCTCTTTAGCATTTACGCATCTTAGAAGACCCAAATCAGGTGTTTTCTTGTACAATATGCCTCCGCTTAAGAAAAAACTGCTAGCTAGTCGTTGAATAACCCTTTTTTGATTACTAGTGGCATTAGTAGGACATTCTCCGGACTGTAGATATGTTTTAATATCATGGAACCAAGGTTTACCGTCAAATTCTTCCTCAACCAAGTTGCAATAAGCATGCTGATCACGAATTTGTATGTACAAAGGGTCGATATGAGCATCATCAGGATGTTGGAGCATCGAAGATAAAGTTGCCAATGCATCAGCAATCTCATTATGAACTCTAGGAATATGTCTAAACTTTATTGACACAAACTGTCGACAAAGATCTTGTAAACAATGTTGATATGGTATAAGCTTTGGGTCACGAGTCTCCCATTCTCCTTGAATTTGATGGACCAGTAAGTCTGAGTCTCCTAGCACTAGCAACTCTTGGATGCCCATGTCAGCAGCTAACCTCAAGCCCAAGATGCAAGCCTCATACTCTGACATATTATTGGTACAATAGAATCTAAGTTGGGCTGTTATAGGGTAATATCCCCCTGATTCGTACATAAGAACAGCTCATATTCCAACTCCCTTCTCATTAGAGGCACCGTCAAAGAACAACTTCCATCCTTGATCCTTATCATGAACAACTTCATCGATACATGACACCTCTTCGTCTGGAAAGTATGTCTTAAGTGGTTCATATTCATCATCAATAGGGTTCTCTGCCAAATGATCTGCCAAGGCTTGAGCCTTCATTGCGGTCCGCGTCACATAGATAATGTCAAACTCTGTGAGTAATATTTGCCATTTCGCAAGCCTGCCCGTGGGCATGGGCTTTTGAAAAATGTATTTTAACGGATCTATACGAGAAATGAGATAAGTAGTATAGGATGAAAGATAGTGCTTCAACTTCTGTGCTACCCATGTTAGGGCACAACACGTTCTTTCGAGAAGGGTGTACTTTAATTCATAAACGGTAAATTTCTTGCTGAGATAATAAATGGCCTGCTCTTTCTTCCCAGTGCCATCAGGCTGACCCAATACACATCCAAAAGAATTATCCAGTACTGACATATATAATATCAATGGTCTGCCCGGCTCAGGAGGAACCAACACAGGGGGATTCGATAAGTAATTCTTAATTCTTTCAAAAGCCTCTCAACATTCTCGGTCATTCGACTGTGGCATTCTTTTTAACAACTTAAAAATGGGCTCGCAAGTTGTTGTGAGTTGAGCAATGAATCTACTGATGTAGTTTAACCTTCCTAGAAGGCTCATAACCTCAGTTTTGTTCTTTGGAGGTGGCAGTTCCTGAATGGCTTTTATTTTTGAAGGATCTAACTCGATACCTCGTCGACTGACTAACAACCTCAAAAACTTTCCTGACGGTACTCCAAATACACATTTTGCAGGATTAAGCTTGAGATTATACCTACGAAGCCTTTCAAAGAATCTTCTTAAGTCTTGCACATGATTCGACTGGTTTTTTGATTTAATGATCACATCATCCACATAAACTTCGATTTCCTTATGCATCATATCATGAAACATGGTTGTCATTGCCCTCATATAAGTTGCACCCACATTTTTTAACCCAAATGGCATGACTCGATAACAATATGTACCCCACGGTGTGATAAAAGACATTTTTTCTGCATCTTCATCATCCATAATAATCTGATGGTAACCCACATAGCAATCCACAAAAGATGCAATCTCATGTTTAGCACAATTGTCCAACAAAATATGAATGTTGGGCAAGGGAAAATCATCTTTTGGACTTGCTTTGTTCAAATCACGATAATCAACACACATTCGAACTTTGCCGTCTTTCTTAGGGACGGGTACGATGTTGGCTAACCAAGAAGGGTATTGAGCGACTCGAATGACTTTGGCTTCAAGTTGTTTTGTGATTTCCTCTTTAATTATTACACTCATGTCAGTTTTAAGCTTTCTCAACTTTTGCTTTACTGGAGGGAACTTAGGATCAATCGGCAACTTGTGAAC